GTGGAATGGTGGCATGAATGGCCATGCTCATGGTAAAATTACTAGAGGGATTTATTTTGATAAAAGGCCATTCTATCGGCATATTGTCATTGTTTTTGCTAGGTGAAAAAATCTAGAGGTTGTTGTTGATGTTGTCGATGCTTTAGTGTTGGTTTACCGTGGCCACTATTGTGATTAATTTTTCTATAAGAGTTGTGTAATTGCTATTCAATGGCTTATGCATTTAAAGTTCTCATTCTGCTTTTAAATTTTGAATGCCTTTGTGGCATTTGAACTACTCATGCCACTTAGTTGTTTTTGGTCTTTTTAAGTAGGCTGCTTATGATTTTACTCCAATAATATTATTGTGCAAATGCTAAAAATATGATATTGAATGCTAAAATTATGCTTAAATGTCAAAATTTGTTTGATAGATGGATGACGATCTATGATTTTATTGTATAAAGATGTTTATGACTATTATAATTATAAAGTTGATAAATGATTGGATAAACAGTTATGTTAAGGCAACACTATTATATAATTGTGAGTTTGGTGAAAAGTTTGATCTATATGGATTTTAATTTGGAGTTTGTAAACATTGTAGCAGTGTTGTTTTGTTTTGTAATAGTTGGATCTTCAACTTGGGTTTTCCATGACATCAAGTTAATTTAATCATTTGTTTTTTTAGGTTAATTTTACTGAAATTTTTCTTAGTTACATATGTTTATAAAATTTGTAGGTTAGTTTTGTATATGACAATGGAGAGAAATTGTCTCTATTTCTGGTAGGGAGTAATAAATGTACATTTTATTGGTATATGAGTCTATTGTTTTCCACTTACAGCATAAAAGGTTTTAATTTTATTTTTGATTATATAATTTCTCTTTTTGATAATGATTATAGCTTGTAATGATTTTAATTATTTGTTGGTTTTTAGATTAGTGCTGCTTTCACACATTGGTGCCAAGTGGTTTCTATGTTTGCTATGTTTTTTTAAGATCGTGGATTCCATATAAGTATGAAATTGGGTTATTTACATGGTGATAGATTTAATTTTAGGCATATGGATCCGTGTTGACAATAGATACACCGCTTGACTTGAGAAATGGTGAGAGAGTTGGGTTTTTCCTGCTTCCAAAAAATTCACTTAAACATTCTTAACTGTAAAGCTATCACAATTTAAAGAATTCATGGAAGCCTTTGTTTTATTTGTATAGATTGATATTAATTGTTGTATGTATTAAAGGTGAAAAATGTTAGTCTTGAATGACAACCAATTTTCTTTTATTTGTATCTTAACATGAATGATTTTGTCTGTAGTCACATTTTCCTATTAAATTTGTGTTATCCTAGACCCAAAAAAAAATCTTGATGTTAATGCATGAATTGTTGGCTTTTTATTTTTGTGCTACGATGCCTCTAGGAACGAGTGTGACTTTTTTTTTTTCCATTCTAGAGTTGATTTGTAAATAATCTGGGAAAACAATTTCAGCTTTGGTATTGAATTTCTATCATGTGTATAGTGTTCCACTTTAGTTTTGGGGTTGAATTTTTTAGGAAGTATATATTTTGTTTTCAAAAGTGTTTGTTTAGAGCTTTTAATTTCCCAGAACTATAATATGGTAGATGGTGATTGAGTTTGTTTTCCATTATGTTGGTTCCTATAATTATTTTCCCTTTTTAATATGGTAGCCCACATTTATGATTTTATTGTTGTCTTAGTTGAAATTTATATTGTGTGTTATGTGGTGAGTTCAATAATTGGTTTGGGCCATATTTTTACTAATATAAAATATTTTTTGTTACATAGTGCCTTCAGGCATGAGTTCATTGCTATTGGAATTTTTTTTTTTTTTGAATTATGTTAATTCCAACTGATGAGAAAAGCAAGGGGACACATGTTTCGGATTTTCAATGTGGTTTTGCCTCACATATTCGGGTATACATGTAAGCATGCTTGGGATTATTTTTTTGTGACTTTACATCCAGAAGGTGTTGATCTCAATCAGACAATATTGTGGTGTTTGTTAGCAATCTTATTGATACATATTTTTTTGGTTGTCTCTCTTTGCTAAAGAAGATGAAGTTGAAAAGAATTATTTATCTCTTTGTACACTTGTGTTTTGTGTGTGTCCAGTTTGAATGTGTTTTGATTGTTCAGTGTTTAGTAAGTTAAACTAATCACACATGAGAAAATGTTGTTTGATGAGAATTGATGGTTGGATTTGGAATGGTGATTTTGGGGGAAATAGAGTTGGATTATGATGATTATTATGTATGATTGTGATGATTATATGTTTTGTTTTAATTATGATATTATCTCTGACGTAGGTTGAGTAATTTTTCTCGAGATTGGTTATACAATAGTTTGTGTTTGACAATGATACATACAACGAGATATATAAGTTCTGTAGACAAGTTAAAATTCCCTTAGATTCTTATCTATAGATGAAATTTTGTTGATTTTTTTTGAAAAAATAGCAAGGAATTGATTGATTTCAATTTCTTTATTTAAAGCAAATGAAGGAAATTTTTTTTCAAATTGACGAGTTTTTTAGTTAGCAAATTGCCCCAGGCACGAATTAATTTAATGGTTATGATGCATTAGAGTATCTCCAACCTTGACTCTAATTTAGAATCAAATTTAAATTTCAGCTAAATGGTCCAAAAACCTTATCTAGCCTTGGGCTCAAACTTGTACCAAATTAAGGAAAAAAAAAATTATTTTGGAGCCAAATTGAAGGAGACTTAAATTATAGGGCAAAATCTAGTTTACCCCCCCCCCCCCCCCGGTGGTTAGTGCCATGAGCAGATGACCCCTCTATCATTTGAAAATATGCACATCACCCCCTGTGGTTATGGACTAAACTACAACTGTCACTCTGTTAAACGGTAATTGTAAAAGTACTACGATACCCTCAAATATATATGTCGTCTACCCAAGAATCTCAGCCCTAAATGTCGTCTACCCAGGAACGCGCGAAGTCTCTATCTTCTCTCTCTCTACCAGCCCCTGAACCCACGAAATTTTAGGGCTTTGATTTTCTTATGAATCAAAATTAGGGCTTCGATTTCTTGATGATTTGAAGTTAGGGCTTGGATTGACCAGTTAAAAAGGCAGAAGATTTTGATTTTTTAAGAAGATTCAAGGCCAAAAATAAGGTTAGCTTATTTCCAATTTTCCTTATATGCTAAGTTATGCATCGAGTTATGTGTGTGAAAATCTTTATCACTTTTTCATTTTTGTTTTGTGTTTGTGGCATAGATTTGTTGTTTGTTGGCTCAGTGGTACTACCACTAAGGATTTCCCTTTAAAATATTTGGTTTTTTTTCTTGGGTTTGTGGTCATACCAAACAGTTCCATCTATAGGTGTTTTTTCTAGTTTGTGATCCTACCACATGTTGTATGGTGATTTTGGATGGGTAAAAGGGGACAGAGTTTTTCCCACTATTTTGTTTATTAATGCACATCTTTTAATGCAGAATGGGTTGTTACAAATTTGCTGTCGAACCGCATCATAGGGGAAAGTTCATGTGGACACCAAAAATTGTTTACAAAGGTGGTACTATAAGTATTATTGAAGATTGCAAACCAGACCAATTTTCTTTGCTTGAGATTAGACATGTATGTATCATTAGGAGGAGAACGGGTGAATGTTGACATATATTATAGGCTTCATGAGTACAGTTTGGACATGAGAGTAAAGCAAATGAGATCAGACTGTGATGTATTAGAGTTTGGGAGTAAAACAACCAACCTTTCAGAGAATGTATTGGAGTAAAGCCATGAAAGAAGGATTTGTTGCTGGTTGTAGACCTATTATAGATCTTAATGGTTGCCATTTGAAAGGGATATATGGAGGCCAACTACTTAGTGCAATAGGTAGGGATGGAAATGATAACATGTTCCCAATTGCTTTAGCAGTTGTTGAGATTGAGTGTAAAGATTCTTGGAGTTGGTTTTTAACTGAATTGACAAGAGACTTGGGAAGGCATGAGGATATGGGTTGGGAGTTTATTTCTAATAGACAAAAAGGCCTTGTGGAGACATTTGATCAACTGATGCCTACAGCACTCCATAGATACTGTCTCAAACATATGTATAACAATTTCAAGGCTAAGTGTAAGGGTGTAGAGTTAAAGATTTTTTCTGGAAAGCTATATTAACTGCTAGTGTGAATGAATTTAAATACTAGATGACTAAGATAGAGCAAATTGACAAGAATGCTACTAAGTGGTTGAAGTGCGTCAGCCCTGCTTTGTGGACTAGATCACACTTCTCTATGAGAAGTAAATGTGATATTTTGGTGAACAACTTATCTGAATCATTTAATTCATATATTCTTGAAGCAAGAGATATGCCCATAATTAGTATGTTCAAGTGGATTCGGAGGTAACTGATGAGCAGAATACAAGGAGGAAGGGTATAGAAAATTATCCTGGTTTAATATGTCCTCGTATTCAAGAAAAACTGAAACAAAACAAGGTTGATTCAAGGAATTGTTTTCCTACTTGGTGTGGTGAGCTTGAGTTTGAGGTGGACCATTTTGATAGGATGTTTATAGTGGATCTTACAGCAAGAACATGTACTTGCAAACTGTGGGAGTTTTCTGGGCTGCCTTGCTGCCATGCAATAGGTGTCATATAAGCAAATAATGAGCTACCAGAGACATATGTGCACGAATGTTACACAAAAACTGTATATATGACAGCATATGCACAGATGATACATTTAGTCCCTAGCATGCATAAGTATGTTCATAGTGGAATATAGCCATTGAAACCCCCATTACTCCATAAACTACTTGGAAAACCAAAAAAAATGAGAAGAAGAGAGGCAGATGAGCCTAGAAAACCCCTTAAGGCTTCTAGGAAAAAACTTAAAGTCAAATGTGCAAAATGCTTGAAGACTAGTCACAACAGATGATCATGCAAGAACATGATCCATCCTAAATCAAAGTTATTGATGGTAAGAGTGATTTTTTTAATATAATTTGTGCATTATTTTTTTAAGCACACTAATTATAAATTACATCTTTGGTATTGTAGAAATCCACTGATGGTGATGCCTCCAATGCTGCTACAGCCTGCAATACTGCTACTGCCTCCACTAATGGTCCAGCCTCCACTATTGCTGCCTCAACTACTGCTGCCTCCAATGTTGCTGCCTTCGATGCTGCTGCTACCTCTAGTGCCAATGCAACCTCCACTGCTAGTCCAGCCTCTACTGCTGTTGCCTCCAATTTTGTTGCACCCTCTACTGATGGCAAGTCGTAGGAGTGGTGCAATTGAGAGATGTTCTGGGAGTGGTGTCGTTGACAAGTATATCCAACTTGTTCAACCTGCTAGAAATGTGCACAAAACAAGTATATCCAACTTATTGGATAGAATTAGGGCTAAGAAAAGGCCATAGTTAAGTCTAAATATTTTTTTGTCTATATTATATCAAAAGAGCCTTTTGGAAATATGTTATGTGCTCTTTTGATTGTGCACAGTCTATGTGCTCTTTTGATTGTATTGAACATGTATTTCCTTTTGGTTATATGGGAAAATTGTTGTGAGCATTTTGCTCCTTTTGGTTATTATGTGGTTATAGGTCCAGCAATCCATAGAAGTTTGATATTGTGTCAAATAGACATTCCATTAGATAAAACACCATCACATTACATTAAATACAAAGTAGTCCTTCAAAACATAGACAACATGTTTTTAGTTCTTGCTTAAGACTAGAACCAAAACTGCCAAACAAATTACAGGTACAATAAACATTCTCCTTAGCATATACTTCATGGCCACTTGATCAGACTTCATGGCCTCCTGATCAGACTTCAGGGCCTCTTGATTAGATTCAATCATCATCACCCTCTTGATTATTTTTTGCAATTTCATCATCATTTAGAGTAGCAGGCATACCAGTTGAGATGCCCGAAACTGAAATGGGATAACACTATGCCGAAAATTCACAATTTTTAGTCCCGCAAACATAATACAATCTTCCCTTAAACGGTTTCTCTGAATCAACCACTTTGATTATCGCTTTACGCCCACACCCACAAATTTGGGTACTGAACCTCAAATCCATAGGTTCCCCTCCCCTTGAGTTGCTCGAGTATGACATCTAATTATAACAAAACATTATTATGAAGTTGTTACACATATTTTAAATAAAAATAATTAGAATAAGAAAAGCATAAACTTTATCATAGTAATTTATTAGTGATTATATTACCCAAAAAACATGTTTAAATAAATTACCTTTTTATGGTAGCTTCCTTCCCCCAGCTCCAGCAGAAAGGCAGTACTTTAGCCTTTCAAAGGAAATGAAAAGCTCAAGTTTTTATCATAGCATTAGAGGGTCATTTTTGAAATTTGTGTTTATTTATTTTGGAGAGAAGCTGATTTCATCTTTCATCAATCGCCAAATCAACGCATCCACTCTACTGCTGTCTTTTCTGACGGGAAACGTGAGAGTTGCAGTTTAGTCCAAAACCACAAGGGGTGATGTGCATATTTCCAAATGATAGGGGGTCATTTGGTCAAGGCACAAACCACGAGGGGGTAAACTAGATTTTGCCCTAAAATTTATATCAAAATTTCAACTGTAATTTTTTACCCTATCCAAAGCCCAAAAAACTTCTTTCACAAATTTTTTTCTGCTTTTTCCTACCTCTCTCTTTTATGCTGCTTCCATTGCCGACCACCACCGAAGCATTCAAGCATTCACAAATCCTTTGAAGACCTGTAGGTAAGTTTCTTCCTTTTCATATTCTATCTTCTTTGTTTCTTGTATTTTTTGAAACTCTAAACTTTCCCATATTTTATACCATATAAACTCTAAGTCTGCCCATTAAATTTTTCTTTGATTTCTTCAAGTTAAACACTATTGGTGGTGCGATTTTAGGCCATTGATTTTTCCTAAAATTTTCTAAAATTTCAAGCCTTCACTACCCATAATTTTAGGAAATTTGTGATTTTATTTCTTCAATCATCAATTTTTGTTGAAAATGATCCATTGTTTGTTTTCATCAGACCAATCCCATATCAAAGTAAACACATTTTTTTTTGCTTAATTTCTTTATCTAGATTTAAATAAGAAGATAAGAGATTAAAATAATCTGAGAATTTTGGGGTGATTTTTTTTCTACTTCTTTTTATTCTCAAGTGGTGTGGTATCCATATTCATTTTTTTTTGAATTACACATTTGTGAAGAGATATAAAAGTGTCATTTATTTTATCAGATTTCATGATTTGAATGACACAAAAAAATGAGATTTGGGACAATAAGGGGATTTTTTAAAAAAATTTGAGTAGATATTTTAGTTTGTCCATTGAAGTATGTATACCAAATCAATTTTTTTTACTAAAATTTAAACTCAAGTTTAAATGTGAGTCATGGTTGGAGATACTCTTAGATAAGCAAATAAAATCAACAAATTAAGTATAAATATCATTTTTTAAAAAAAATTTCTCAATTCTTTAATGTTAAATAACTCACATCGTGATCATAAGATTGGTGGGTCTCACTTAGATTTAAGTGGGTGGCCATTAATATAAGATATCGCCTTAGATACAAAAGACTATGCTAAAAAACCTTGAATGCACAAGTTAAAAAATAGAAACATTTTTCGAATATTATTGATAGAATATTTGTTGTTTTTGTTATCCAAAATATGTGTATAATTAGAATTAAGGGTTAATTGCACTAGAGGTCCCTAAAGTACGTGGTTTGTCTCATTTTGGTTCCCAGTATTTTAATTGCATCATTTTGGTAACTGAAGTATTGAATTTCTATATGGTCTTTCAAGCGAATAATGTTCAGATTGCTAATGATTTTTTATTATAAACTTATAATGTGATACCAAAATATAGATAAACAATAATTTTGAGAGCTCTTAAACATAGTTTCGGTAGTTCTTGACAAAAAATGTGTAATATGGGTAAATTGGTGGGTCTCACTTAGATTTAAGTGGGTGGCCATTAATATAAGATATCGCCTTAGATCCAAAAGACCATGCTAAAAAACCTTGAATGCACAAGTTAAAAAGTAGAAACATTTTTTGAATATTATTGATAGAATATTTGTAGTTTTTGTTATCCAAAATATGTGTATAATTCGAATTAAGGGTTAATTGCACTAGAGGTCCCCAAAGTATGTGGTTTGTCCCATTTTGGTTCCCAATATTTTGATTGCATCATTTTGGTAACTGAAGTATTGAATATGTTTTCTATATAGTCCTTCAAGCGAACAACGTTCAAATTACTAACGATTTTTTATTATAAACTTATAATATAATACCAAAATATAGATAAAAAATAATTTTGAGAGCTCTTAAACAAAATTTGGGTAGTTCTTGACAAAAAAAAATGTGTAATATGGGTAAATTTTAACCAAAATTTGGATAATTCATGATTAAAATTGTATAATTTAGGTAGCTATTTAACCAAAATTTGAGTAGAAATTTGGTTAAGAATTATCCAAATTATTTTTTTGTTCATATTTAACTATCATGTGACAAGTGATAAAAAAATCGTTAGCAATCTGGACGCTATCTGCTTAAGAGACCATATAGAAATATTAGTAATAACCCGTGTTTAAAGACATTTTGTAACTTAAAAAAATTATTCAATTTGAAATAGTTTTTTTGACAAAATTTATTCTAAAATCAGGAGCTCAAAAAAATCTCAACCTGCTTATAGAGTATATATATCTCATTGTATACATCATTGCCTGACACAAACCATTGCATTGCCCAATACAAATCAGTGCATAACCATCTCAAAATAAATTACTCAACCTAACTCAAAGACATCATCATATTGTAGTCACTAAAAAAACCTTACCAATTAATTCATACATTCATACAGAAAAAAAAACATAAAGAAACAAATTTAAACTAATCTATAACCTCTTCAATAAAGTATAACATTGTCCAGAAATCAAATCAAACCAAACCACCCAAGAAGATTACAAACTTGCAACAACCAAGCTGTAAAAAATGGTCCACCAAACCCAATATTCCATATCAAATAGAATTTAAAAAAGTCCAAGAACAGCAACATATTTTACAATCATCAATAGAAAAACAATACAACCATTAATATAAATTCAAAAAGAATGTAAAATGTATAGGGCATTCGAGAAACTGATGGACAATTTTCGTGAGATGAATCGTAGTTTATATTGTTGTAAGGCTTCACCTACACCAACTAAAATCAAAACTCCACCGCACCTTCACAATATAACACCACCCTGCAAAATTAATATGATTTCAAAATTAAAATAAGTAATTCTTCATATGAATCATCACAATAGGATTCAATAACATAAAAAACCTTTCAACAAACAGGTGTTAAAGTAATGACTAAAATATATTGCACCTAAAGTAATAATTGTTATTTCCAACAGTTGCCTAGCTTTCTGATCCCCTGGTTCCTCCTCCATCTGGGGTCTTTTCCCCTATCTCCAACCCGAGTAGATGACCCTTCTCCCTCCATGTATCACTATAAAACATGTGAATATCGCATATGAGTGATGACAACATGCAATATATATTTTACACACTCACACGGACCTCTAACACCTCACCTAAATAGACCAGTCCCTAAGTTTACTATCACGCTAGACTTAACTCGACTTCAAAATTATAAACTTTAGCTCTGATACCAACTAAATTGTCACGCCCCATCCCGGTCTCCCAAGGATGAGACGCGACTAGGTTTTTGGTACACCTGTTTATAATTATTATAATCTAGACTAATCAAACATTAAATAATCCAACAAGTAAAACAACACCACCCATCACTTTAGCCATTAAGCATAAGGGTAAAACTTGTCTCATAACCTGTACCAAATATTTGTTTCCCATGTTATAGATATATATAAAATATAATACCCACATAGCATACATCACAAAGTATACTTGTTGAGTCTGTTTACAAATATATACTATTAACCTGTCATAATAATCTCTCACAAATATAATATAATACACAATCCAACAATTAGTTATACCGACACTCAACCTGATTAATATCACACTAATGTTGTACAAGACTCAATCGACTGGACAGTGGACTGGTCTGCATCCTCCTCTATGGTACATGAAAAGAAGAGGCTGTAGGGGTGTGAGTTAAACCATGTGCTCAGTGAGTATGCATGTTGTATATAAAATAGAAATGATAGTAATACACTGAAGTAGGTAGATACTATATAGATACACGTATCAAACAATAGCATCAAACCAATTCCAACGAATTCACAAGCCACATGACATCCACACTACCCCTCATTGGGTAATCATTCCCACATGGATCCGTGTCTCCCAAACCTCGCGGGAACAGCACAGTGCTAGCACATCACTGCACGTCCAGTGATCAGACATCGACACTCCTGTCTCAAACAGTGCGCCACATTCCATAATATACAATACATAACACAAAACATCATCCAATCACATAAACATGTAGCACATTATCCTGGAGAATTGCTACTAAATTCTATTATTTACTGTCATCTTATAATAGAATTTTCAAAACATAAAAAGAAATACACCCACCTCAAATGTACAGATCTACGACCATTCGGTCCTATCGGTGGATCATTTCAGTGTTACCGTATCTGTTCCAACACCGACTGTCTCACTCGTTTCACCTAACACAATTGAAAGTACAATTACAATATTAATCTTTTTATCACATTTAATAGTTAATCATGCACTAATGCATGCAAAATGATACACCCCAAAGTGCCCGGTAACTCCAGTTACCGCACTATCCACTCACACACTAGCACTTTTGTTCTAGGGATCACATTTTCTTCCTAAATCTCCAAAATCACTCACATTAATCACAATTAGGA